TTTATTTAGTTTTAATTTACCACATACTGAATGTTTAACTAGCCATGTGGGGTATATTAGTTGTGTTTTGGGCTTACGATTTCGAAGAGTGTTAACTCCTGTAACTCACAAGTAAACTATGCCCATGCATACCCTGTCCACATAACCTAGAAAGGGAGTATATTATTTGCTTGTAGGGCATATTTCTTTACTCTTTGAGATTTATCTCATATCAACTGAAGGCCTTCAGAGTCATATTCCCTTTACATATCAACTTTGGTTGCTTAAAGGAGCATTTCTAGGTCGTTCCACATTTCCAAGTATTTTCTATTTTTAGTCTGTTCTCTTATTTTTCTGCATCATACTTTTGGGCAACTTACCAAGTGTAAGCGGATTTTTTTTTTCTTTTTTTTTTTTTGAGAAGTGCAGCAGCATCCCTATCAGCAGCAGCAGCAGCAACAAATTTTTGCTGCTTCAATAGCTCAAATACTATTTTATGCTTAGTTGATTATTGACTGCATGTGGAAATTTACTTTTGCCTTCCAACTCGGCAGACTCCCAACTCAATTCTCGATTTCTTGATTCTCAATTCTCGTTTCTCAACTCAATTGCATTCTGTTTCAGTTCATTGTTGTTGTTGTTGTTGCTGCAGCTGGGCTAAGTCTAGCAGAACGTTAAAAATTGGCAGTCAGTTTGTTTGTTTTTCAACTTAACACGGAAATTGTATTTTTGCTCCAGTAAAACGCAAAAATACCAATAAAACAAAAAAGCAGACACACAAAAAAAAAAAAACAACTAGTAAACAAATTGCTGAAAACTATGCACACTATTTGAAGAGCTTGCAGCTTTGCCACTTTTATTGTATTTTTTCCCTTAAGTTGTTAGACTTTTACTTAAGCCATGTTGATTAAAATGTTTAAACACTTTAGTTCAAGTCACAATCAACTAGACCAGCAACTATTTGTATTGAAAGTAAGTTCATAAACAACTTTTGCACAAATATTCAAATTTAGTTAAAGAAGAAGCGAAAGCAAACAGTGATGAGTTACCAAGTTACCCAGTTAGAAAAAAAAAAATAGAAAATACCCATAACATTCAAGTAACCAAGGAAAACCATTTAATTGATTTAAAATTGAATATTTATGTTTGGCAAATTGGAAAAATTCGATGGTATTTCACATGTAATATATTTAGAAATTTATAAATTAATTGCTGTTTTTTTTTTTTTTTTTTTTTTTTTTTTTGTACATCATATTTTTCTCTCCTTCATTGCCTGTCTCTCTCTCTCTTTGTCATTATATTACTTTCTTTTTCTACTTCTCATTCTCCGCAGTATATATATATATATATATATATATATATATATATATCGTTTGCTTTCTCGCAATAATAATTCCCTCAATATCCCATTTTCTCTCTTGTTATTCTCTCGTTTGTTCATTCTTTTATTCGATCCATTTCTTAATAATGAGAGAAAGCGCAATCGATCTTTCTCTCTCTCGCTCCCTCTCTCTCTCTCCTACCTCGCTTTATATACTTTCATCTCTTTCTTATAACTCTTTCAATTTACGTCTCTCATATCTCTCTCATTTCCATTGTCTTCTTATCTTATTATCTCACTCTTTCTCTCTCTCTCTCTCTCTCTGTCTCTGTATCTCTATCTTTGTCTCTTTCTATACTTCATTCTCTTTAATCTTGTCTTTATTTTCTGTCTCGTTTTGTACATCTCTTTTTTTACACCTAACTATGTTAATTCCCAGCTTAGTCTTTGTCTATCTTCATTTTTTTTCCTTTCCTTTCCTCTGCTTTTAACCTGTTTTTCAATTATTGTGTGCACTGCTTTACCTTCCTGTAACCCTAATTTTATTAAGAATAAAAAATGCAGTTAAAAATATATTTCATTATTCCTGTTACCCCCCGCAGCACAAAGAAAACTATGAAATCAACATTTCTGAAATGTTAACAGGAACAAGAAAACAATTTGCTAAATCAGCGCTTGTCGAGACCAAGGGGCAGATTGAAAGGAAAGAGAAAGCCAACAACAAAACAAAAAGGTAAAAAAGCAACAAATATACAGACACAAAATATATCCGGTAAACGAAAAAAAAAAAAAAAAAACGAAATTAAGAAATTCGAAAAGAGAAATGCGAAACAAAAAAAAAGAACGCACGCAAAGAGAGACCGCAGAAACACATGCAAACAAGATGAAAACTGTCTGACGGCCAAAGGCGAAAGAGGAAATGGTTGAGCGGAGAGCGGGGAGGAGAGCGTGAAGAAGCGGGCTAAAAGTGAAACAGCTGGAAAACGCACTCAGAAGGTCCTTGGGTGCTTCACTTGTTGTTTCTTATATTAAAAATTGGAGTAGAGCTTTTGTTTTTTCGTTTGCGCTTTTCTCTTTTGTTTTTATGCCCAAAATCCATTGAATTTGCCTAGAAATGGTATGATGTGCTGCTGCAGTTCTCAGTAACAGAGAAAACTGCAGAGGTGTCCCTTAGCCCGGCAGAGAGACTGATCGTACTTGGATAACTAGAGACTTGAAAGATATAGAATTCTGCACATGCATATATTTTATCAATTCCATTATCATTCACAATATTTGGTTCTGAAACTTAGTCAGATAGAGAATATAAAAAAAGATGATAGAAATAAAAAAAAAAAAATTAATATCGAATGAATTTGATGAAATAATCCAAACTTAATTTCAGTTCTCTGTTTATCCAGCAGCACATTTGGAAGTTAGGGTATCTTAGCAGTCTGGCATCGCCACCTAGCACAATTTTACTTATTTTCTGTGCTGTGGAGCAGCAGCTGCCTTTGCGTGGGAGGCAAAAAATATTTTAGTTGGTTGTGGAAATCAAATTCTCAGTTGGACTTCAATTTCGTCGGCGTCCCTTTTTTTTTTTTTTTTTTTTTTTTTGCTTTGTTTGTTGCTTTTTTCTTCATCTGTGCTTTATTTCGGTCGATTGTCCTTGCGGTGGATGTCGCTGTCAGCTTCAGTTTCCGTTTGGCTGCCAACTTTTGACTTCCTGTCAATGGCGACAGCTGCAGCCGATCTATGTGTATGTAAATATATATATATGTATATTGTATATATGGATTTCCTTTAGCATTCCATTTTATTTTAAAGATTTCGCTCGCTCTTCGAAATTGTTTAAATTCCATTTTGCTATATATTTTGCATATTTTCAAGTCAAAGTTCGGACCTGACCTGTCCAATTGAACACGCCTTCAATACTGTTTATGTTGTTCATATTGTTTTTTTTTTGGTTTTATTTTTTAGGTTTTTATTCTTTCATAAATCACAAGGCAAATGGTTTGCGCCTTCGTTAACCCAGTTTCTCGTCATACAAAGAGAGTTTCGTATGTGAAGGCCCCTAACTAAAAATATATGGCTTTCTATGAAAGCGCATTGAAAGCGAAAGTTTCAAGTGACTGAAGGTAGCAGAAGGCGCAGCGGGCGTGGGCGATCCACGCCCATACAATGCTAACGAGACGCATGCAAAAAGTGCAAGCAAGCACAAAAGTGTTGCATACTTTTGTGGGTTTCACATTTCGGGCGAAGCTAGGAGTTGTATGTGCCAAATACACACACAAAAATGTATATATATATATATATATGTAAATGGAATACTAAAGAAATGTTTGAAAATTAAGTATACAAATATTTAATATTGTTAAATATTTCATAAAACAACAATTATTAAATGAAGTAAATTAAGATAATAGATATACAACATGCTCTAGACTTAAATACAAAATACAATAAAATCAATAAGTTTAATTAAATTTAAAAAAAAATGTTGTGTTATTTGAATGTTTTTTTTTTTTATTTTTTATTTTAATTTTAAATAATTTTAAAGAATAAATAAAATATTATAGACTGCTTCATTGGTAGTATTTTATATATAAAATATTTGTATATTATTATACATTTTATTTATAATAATGTAATAATCATAAGCAAAATTATTCATTATTTCATTTTAACTTAAATATTTTTTATATTTTAGAATACTCTTCACAGTAATTTCATATAAGAAAATAAATAAAAATAAATATTTTAAATATGTAATACTTTTCGGTCATACTAAAACAATATTTATTATATTACAAATAAAAAATAAGTGCATAAACGTGTTTAAATGCATGAAAATATTTCGAAGGCAACGCAAAAATAAATAAAATGTGCGCTAAACTGTGAAAATAAATTTAATGCAGCCAAATTTAAGAGAACAAACAACAAATGTATATAAAAATATATGTGTATATATACAGATATACATATATGTTATATATATGTCATTCACACTTTTTTGTGTGCAACTTTGTTGCACAATATTTTTCACAGTCAACAGAAAAGTTGTTTGTGTTCTATATATGATTTTTTTTTTTTTTTTTGTTTGTTGTGCTTCTCATTTTTGTTTTTTTTAACTTTTTGCAGCCCAGTAAAATATGGCTCCATAATAGAAAGAGAGAGTGGAAGCGTGCGAGCGCGAGAGCAGTACAGCGCATGGGTCTAAAGTTTTTAAATTGTAATATTTATATGGCTCATGGTCAAACGCGAAAAGTTTTTCTCTAATTTTATTTTTTATATATATTTTTTCTTTTTTGTTTTTAGTTTCAGTTTTGCTGGTTTTGTATAACTGTGACATGTAATTTATTTTCTAAATGTGTTTGAAATTTTTACGTTTTGTTTGCGCTGAAAATTAGTGAATATTTAAAAATATGTAATATATATGAGTTTTACAAATTTCAATTGCATTTGACATTAAAAAAAAAATATTTTAAAATGAATTACATCAATGTGTATATGAGTATGTAAATTTATGATATAGATTATGTATATTAAAATTAAATATTAATATTTTTTCTTCACTTTCTCTACACAGAGCCCTTGTAGCTAAACTTTTAACTAAAATTGGCCACAATTTAAAGTCTTGGCCCACATAAATTTCCGCGGAATTTCTTTAAAACGTGGCGCACTCACCTTGACACCCGTCGGGTACACAAATTACGCGTAATAATTTTATTTGCATGTTTTATTTAATTTTTCATGCCACTCTGATTACAAAATTGAATTGGCAGCTGAGTTGTGTTAGGGGTAGACAAACACGCAGTCAGTCAGTCAGGTGGGCGGGCGGTAGGTTGGTTGGAGCCACTCCCACTCCCTCTTCATCTGTCTTTATCTCTCGCAATTCCCAGTTGCCATACAATTAGCATGGTCATGGCACTCAGCCCGTCCCGCAGCTGCCGCGCCTGGCGTTCAGCTGCTTCTAATGATGTTCCTCCAACTTGAGCCCTGTCTCGACATTTTCATTTGGTTCGACATCGACGTCGTTTGCCAGCAGGCCGGGATTGTTGTTTTTCCTTTGGGCCAAACTGCCAGCCAGTCAGCCAGCCAGCCAAGCGCCTTCCCATTGCAGGCCAAGGGAAAATTTTCGGTAGAATCATTATGCCAACTCCGTTGTGCCCCGCCCCCTTTCGTGGGTGGCACAAACTGGGCGTAACTTAAATGCGCTTAAAATTAAATCTGATTTCATGAATATTGATTGATTGCTTTCACCTTGAATGAAAATCCGCTTTTGTGCTACTTTTTGTGTACTTCTCGCTGTTGTGCGTATCCCTTACCTGGCCTTACCCTCGACTTTTTCCCCCACCCACTCACTTCGGCTACTGCCCGCAGATTCTGCTTCTGCTCCTGCTGCTGCTGCTGCCGCCACCGCCTTGAACTCTTAAGTTAAATTAATGAGCTTCAGCGTTCGTTTTTCGTATTATGTAAAATTATTTGACCAAAAATAAGTTGATTTAATTGAGTGTGAGTTAAGGCCCTGACGGCTTATGCAAAGACCATTATATCAGCCATAGGCAGGAAGTTGACTGACTTAACATGATGAGCGCACATTTTATTGCCGAACATTGTAAATCATGTCGATGGCCAGCAAAAACAAAATTACAAAAGCAAGAAGAAGCAGACGAAGAAGAAGCTCGACCTTGAACAAGTCAAAGTACTTGTGGAAAGCCAGAGAAATGCGTTTCCAATAAATATCTTATCTCAATTACGAAACGTCTTAGGTTAAGGATTGAGAGAAAGTAGAGAAAATATATCTTGGAAAAATTTACAAAATAAAATATAGTTAATTCAAATTCATTAATCAATTTAAAACTTAAAAAAAATTTGCCAAATTTGCGCTATGTTTGTTTTACGACATAATTTTCACATATTTTATTATTTCACTTCGGAACGTGAATTTCCCAATTGTGGAAGTAGAACATGTTGTTTTAAGAGTGTAATTTAATCTAAAATATATATATTTATTTATATATTTTAAAAGAATTAATTTCATATATCTATTTATTTTCATTCATAATAATGCAATTAATTTCGTCAAAAATAAAAACAAAATTGAGATATTTCACACAATTTCAAACAATGTTAATCACTCCAAGTGAATTTTGGATTTAGAGCAAGCGAATTTTTTAATTATCATATTTTTTAATTCCATTCTGCATTAATTTGTATACCCTGAAATGGGAAATCAGGGTATAATGGTTTTGTAACAGGCAGAAGGAGGCTTGGCAGATCCTATAAAGTATATATATTCTTGATCAGGGCGACGAGCTGAGTCGATTTGGCCCTGTCCGTCTGTCCGTCCGTCCGTCTGTCCGTATGTTTGAACGCGTCGATTTCAGAAGATATAAGAGCTAGAGACTTGAACTTTTATTTAACAAACCGTATATACAGCGCGGATATCGAGTTTATCACCAAAAATCGATAACTCATCCCGTTATTTTTTTAGCGATAAAAAGCCTTAGCAGAAAGACGCGAAAAATGATTGAAATAGCTATTGCTCGAAGAGTACAGGGGATCTCGTAGTCGAGCAGTCTCGACTACAGCTTTCGTACTTTTTTGTAATGCGCTTTAAATAACGATTATTGCAGATTTTCTCTGCCCTGCCTGATTTTGCACACACATATATATGTAAATATATATATATACTTATAAATACATAAATTTTACCTTCCCAAGCGCAATCTATGGAACATTTTTGTCAGCTTTTGGTATTTCGCCTTTTTCTTTTTACTGTTTTATTATTATTTATTTTCGTAATGCTGTTATTTTAAAGCTTAATTAAAAGGTAATGAAACGAAAATAATTCATAATACAAAAAAAACTTTATATATAAGTATGTAACTGCTCCAGGTTGGGCCCCTAGATATATGTATGTATATGTGTATGTGTATATACAATTATATGTATATATAGTTCGTGGTCTGCGCCATAACAAAAGCAAAGTTAATGAAGTCTTTAATTAAGTTTTTTATCTGGAATGTATTTGAGTGTGTGAGTGTTATGGTTATGGTCTCTCCCTCCCTATCTCCCCCTCTCTCACACTCCCTCCATCTTTCTTTCTCTCTCCCTCTTTTCAAGTGGCCACAACTATGAAAAGCGTTTAGTTTGATGCAGCTGCCTTGCGAATGCAAAGATGGGTGCCGAAAAATAAATCCCCCAAATACGAAAATCAGACAGCACTTAAACCCAAACCTGAGGCAGCGCCGTCCAAGTCCCACCCCGCTCCCTCCTCTCAGGGACCAGCTAATTTAATATGTGTGGCAAGTTTTTGCCGCTCGTCGCACCCGCTCCTGCTCAGTCGACTGCGCCGTGGCATATTCAAAGTGGTAGCTCATTTTTCACATGCTGACCCTTTTTGGCCATTCTGTTGACCTTTTTTGTAGCAGCCCTAACCCACTGCGTATACCCTGTAAAATATTTTAAATTGGATTTTAGTAGGATTGTCGAAAATACATTTTTGTTTTTCGTATAGGAATATTAAGTAAACAGATATATATTACTCTTATTGGATACTTGCCATACAAAGTTGAACTAAACAATGAAAAGAATTTCAATATTGATCTATTGATCTGACATATTAGATAACTGAATTCTCTTTGCTCATAGTCTATATAGGAAATTAAGGAAAGACTAACAACACAAGCTACTTCTTACCCAAAGGCTACCATATATTTTAACTAATTTCCTAAATGTAGGTAGACTTCTATATTGACTATCTACTAGTATTTTTTAAAAATATAGTGATTCCAATAATGTAAAATATATAGTGATTGAAAGAAATATCTATTTAAACCTTACGACATAAACTAATATAAGTATTTACAGCGTATTTCTTAGTCCATCAACTATAGCAAACTCTCTCACTTGGCTGGCTGGCTTTTTTTTTAAATTTTTTTTTTATGTCTATTGCTACGGAGATTTGTAAATTTGTGAAGCATTTTTTAATGTGCTTAATTTTATTTCAGTTGCTCTGCATTTATTTTCGCTTTTTTGGGGGCCTGGCGCAGGACATGTGTTGCTGGCGAAAAACTTTGTCGTTGTCCTTGTATATCACACAAGCGGCTTTATTGGTCAGCTGGGGTTAGTGCAAGCAACAACAACAACAACACCAGAAACAACAACAACTACGACAACATCATCGACAGGACAAAGCACAGTTAGTTTTGTGAGTGACCCAGCATTAAATACCCTCTACCAGTTGGACACCCCTTCGTTGTCCTCTCCCTCTCTCTCACTCTCCCACTCTCATCATCTGTCCCATTCTCTCCTATTGTATCGCTGAGCTCTAGCCGCAGGCTATTTTGGTTGCGTTTGTCTTGGTTTCATTTTTTTTCCCCTAACGTATCCGATTTATTCGTGCTTGGGACTTTTGGGTTACGGGGTTTCTAGTGTGGGCGTGGCCATTATCGCCCATTTTGCGCTTATTTAGTACGCTAATGGGGCGTAAGTGTGATTTGGCAAGTGTTTAATGAGCTTTTCACCTTAGTTGCTTCCACTTGTGTTTTTTTTTATTTTTATTTCGTATTTCCCATTCTGGGTGAATTATGTGCCCTGGGATTGAGTCGCACATTAAACATAGATAAGCCCAAAGTGGATGTTCAACAATATTCAGCAATATTAATATATGGCTGAAACTCAAACAGAGTTCAAGCGGCTTACTCAGACCTTATAAGCAGCTTAGCTGTGAGTCGCTTGTGATAGATAGAAATTATGCGATATACATAGGGCGCGGCTTACTGACTTTAACTGTAAAGTTGGGCAATAGATGAAGTAAGTAAGTAATCTCTCTATGTATATTCCTCGCTCCATCAAATTCTGCATACATGGACAGGCAAAGTATTGGGAGATAATGAAAATGAGAAAGCGGGTAAAAATGCAAGAGGATGAAGAGAGAGGGGAGAAGGAAGACAGATGGTACTAAAGAAATAGATGAGGTCAGGCAAAGAAATGTTAAAAAAGAGACAGAGAGAGAAAGAGAGAGAGAGAGCGGGAGAGAGAGAGAGAGAGTTAAATGTAAGTACTATAATGTAAGTACTATAGAAAGAAAGAGGACAAGGAACTAGGAACGGAGAGATTGACAGAAACAAAACTATATATAGAAATAAGATGTGTAAAGAGAGGAAAAGACAATCAGAAGAATTACTTTACTATTAACTCCAATACTCATAGAGAGCGCAGTCGACCTCTATAATAAAAACAAAGCTAACTAAAGCTAAACTAGTTAAGGCCTTACAACAATCATAGACTCTTTCCTTCTCTCTCTCTCTCTTTCCTGTCTCAAGCTGAGTGCCAAACAAATGCTGTCATCCTCTATTAAAGCTCTTGAGCAATGCAAGTGTTAATTCATTATAATGCAACTCGGCTTATCTTATAACTGAGCTAACTGGTGAGCGGGCTGTATTAAATATAAATGCATTTTGAAGGTAAGTTCACAGGTAACGAGCAGTCTGACACTAACTACTTTTAAAGGGCTTTGCAAGCGCAAAAGCTAATTATTTTTCACCTTCGACTTAGCACGAGCCATCTCAGACTAGCAAAAGCGAACAAAGAGGAAAATATGGTCTGACTAGAACAAAAGCCGATTAGCTGCATCGATATATAAGAACTGACTGATGAAAAAGAAAACCCACTGAAGTCTAGAGCCAATCTAACACACTGTCGCTCACACACACTCACACACACATACCCATACAGGCAGACAGACAGAGACAGTTGCACACTCTTGTTTTTACACACTCGATTACAATGGGTTTTAGTAAGTCTTGGGCAGCAAGCGACTGGAGGACTATTATCTACCTGGCCCCAAAGTATGGCACGAGTGGCACAGAGAGCCCGCAACCTATCACAACATTCGCAAAGTAACTCCACATGCCTGACCTGACAGTTACAAACTGTTGTAGGTCAGTAGATAAAAGCCGAGCACAAGAGACTAACAGGCAGGCGATTCTGTGAATGCCAAAGAGAGAGTTGCTGTAAACCAGAGTGTGCGAGAGTGAGAGAGAGAGTGAGAGCGAGAGCAAGCGAGTGAATGTGGGACCAAACGAGAGCAGAGCCAATCGTACGGTGAGCTTTTTCGAACTGCATGTTGACGCTTACATAAAGCGGAAGGAATTTGTCCCAAAAGGGAAATGTTAAAATGAGGACATTTTTACAGAACAAATGTCAAGTAACACAATCAGTAAATGTAGTAAACTATAAAAGGATTGAATTCTGCAAATGTGTTATAGGGATTTAAGATTTCGCAATTTAATAAAATTTTAATTTTAATTTTAATCATGCAAATATATTATATTACAAAAATAAGTAAAATAGATATTTAAAATATGTATTGGTATGAACCAATAAATATTGAAAAAATATAAATAAGATAAATATTAATAAGAACATTTAATTTTAAATATTAAGTAACAACAATGAAAAATTATATATGTAATAAGGTATAACTATTTCCACGTAAAATATATTATAAAAATATAGATGTATAATAATATACTACATTAAGAAGTAAATAAAAAAAATTAACAACAAAAATAA